AAATATTCGTGAATATTTTTCATCATATTCAACAAGTGCACGTTTTAACCATGCATGTCGACGATCAATTTTATCTAACCATGTTAACTAAAACAAAAAAGAAATAAAACAATTATTTTATTTTATTTTTTATAATTACTTCTTGAGATTCTTGATATAATATTGTATATTCAGATAGATGTGTTTTTAAAAACCAATTTATTACTTCTAATCTAAAGAGAACAAAACAAAAAAAAAATACTGAATGCTAACAATCAAATATTTAAATAACAAACCTTAATTTAGGATCAATAACATCAATTATTTTACATACATCTGAAAAATGTTGATTTGAAGTAAAATTTTATATAAAAAATAAAAAAGGTAATGGACTGAAAAAAGATCTTGAATAACTAACTTTCGCATTTGGACCATTAAATGCATCTTCACATTCTTTTCGAACTTGTACAGTTATTTGAACAGTTAATTCTTTAACACTAAATAAAATAATTTTTTTTTTTGTATAAAGAAATTTACTAGGTGATAGTATTTTTGATCAGCAACTTTTTTCAGCATTCATTTCACATTATTATTTGTCAATGAAATGTAGAGTCTGCTCTAGGTCGACGACAACCTCATCCTAACATTCTTTGCTGTCCTCACTCTCACTCTGTGGTGTTACGCACTGTCAATTACACTAATTAATATCTGCGCCAGAATTAAAGAGAGGTGGGGTAAGCTCAATAACTCGACAACAGCAACGGCCAGTGGCTTACGATTTTCAGAAATCCAAACATCTTTTTGTCTGATACTATATAAGATAACCCTATTTTAAAACCCAAATATTCAAAAAAAATGCATGAAAATGTAGTTTCATGTCAAAAACTTTCGATAAAAAGTCAAAATATTTGCTAGAAGTCAAAAAAAAATTCATATAATTTGACCGAATAGATACGCGATTTCGTTTGTTCAACATTGAAATGTAAGAAGATAATCATCTGAACCGTGCCTTGAGTTATAGATCTGAAGTCTGTCTATCAGTAGCACATGTCAATATCAAAATTACATCGAAACAGAACATCATTTTTGTGAATCTTCTCAAAATATGATAGATGTTAAAATAATTTTGTCTTATATAGTATGAGACAAAAAGATATTCGCAGGTCTCTTATTTCTCTTGCTGAAAACCATAGGTCGCTAACTGCTGCCATTTTCGAGTTATTAAGGTTACACCGATCCATTTTTAATTCTGACGCGAATATTAGTTAAGAATATCATTGGTCTGGATAAGAACCAATGTATCTTTTTTTGATGATCAAAAGTAGCTAAAGTCAATTTATTTACTTTGCAGATAATTCTTGTATTTGTGGAATGTTCATATATGGTTGAAAATGTTCTAATACACTTATAACCGGATGAGATAAATTTGCTATATCACCATAAGATTTCTTTTTTATAGCAATTCTAGAAAAAAAAATTCTTTTTTTATATTTACTCAATTTTATCAATTCCTTCAATTAACATTTGTAAATGATTCAGTGTTGTTACTGAAGTTGTAAGATTCTTTTTTGCTACATCAAGTTGTTTTATATCACGTGTTATTTCTTTAGCCTAAGAATTTGAAGAAATTTTGATTTAGAAAATGTAATCAATAAATTTATTTTTACCATTTCTTCTGATTTATTAGCTTTATCTTTAATTTCACGCATTTGTTGAAATAATAATAATAATATTGAATTTTGTGCTTTAACTAATGCTTTATGTTCATCAATTTCTATATCGGAATGAGCACGTATAGTAAAACGAATATCAGTATCCAATGAACGTACCTTTGACTTAACACTTCCAATAACCTCATCAATATTTGCTAGAGATTGTTCAGTTGGAAATAATTGATTTATATAATCAACTGGATTAAAATCAACTCGATCTATTTCATCTGTACTTGGCAATATCTATACACAAAAAAAAAATAAATTATCAAACTTATAAGATTGATTTATCTAATTAAAATTCTTTAAGGCAGTGACAATCTTGGATTGAAAACACCAAAAAAAAAAATCTTGAATTTTATTATGGATAAAAATACTACGATGATAGTTGTGGAAACAAATCTGTAATGGAAATATTCTAGACAATTTTTGCGTTATCGGATAAAAGTGAATATGGATGCACAGTCTTAGTATAAATACTGAACAGTGAACCACCGACACAGGGTTCACTGATTACATTGACATCTATGTTCGTTGCAACATTCAGACATGAGCTCTGTCAGATTACGCCTCTTTTTTATGGCGGTATGTTTCTATGCTTCAGTAAACACCGGTGCCAATGGAGCACTAACTACACTGAGAAATCAAACTTATTCTGTTTTATTTTTATGTTTACATACCTTTTAAAACTATAAGGATATTTTGGTCATCTTCGTCCTTTTAATCCATTTAAGTGTGCGTGTAGTTGAAGGAACCATGCCCATACATCCACATCCAAAAGAACTAAAGGATGAAAAACATGAAAGTCATAGTCACTTGAAAAGCATTAAAGTAAAACGGAATAAATTTGACTTCTCATGGATCCCTTTTGTTGAGTCAATAAACTGAGTTCGTCCATCCTTAAGAATGAACATCTTCTAATAATGAAAAATTTTCAATTCTACGGAACAAAAACCGAATAAATATTCTTTGCATTTCGTAAGTTCATTTTTTTTCCGTTTCCGGTTCCTTGATTAAACCTCTCTCGTGGGAATTGTCCTATTGAACTCAAATGTTTGTACAGACTTTTCTTTACACAATAAAAGGAATACGACACTAAGAAAATAATAATCTCACTTGATCAATCACTTTTTGTACATCAGATGGTAGTACAAGTGTATCCTATCTATCACCATCAGCATCAAATGCATCATCATCTACATCTACTCCATTAGTAGTAGTCCTCTAAAAATTACAACAATGATAATCTTGGTTTTATTTTTATATTTATATTTAAAAAGGAAAATAATTTTACTTTGAAAAAAAAAAACTTTACTGGCACTTGTTTTAAATTTACAGATGAAAAAAAAAAGTTTAAAATTCAAATAGCTTTATTTATATGAGAAACATAAAAAAAGAGATTAGTACATAAGTCACTTGGATGCTTTATTTTTGGATAAATATAGGAAATGAAAAAACACACATACGCAAAAAAAAACAATCAATTTTTAAATGTCACTTTATTTTTATGTTTATGATCGAAAAAATTTTGCCATCCAATCTTTTATTGATGACAAAGGTTTATTCGAAAATGCATATTGAAAATGACAAACATATTCTTTATTTGATGAATGTATTTTTATTATTGGTAGTTGATGACGCATTTGTTCACGATCATGACTACGTTGAAATGTCCAACGCCATCGATTTTGATTAACTTTTTGTTCTCGTTCCTGTTCAGCACGATTCATTCGAGCTTGTTCACGATGTTGTGCACGTGATCGAATTCATGTAGCATATGTTGACTGTGCTTTAGAAAATGATGAAGAAAGATGTTCAACACCACAACGTAATGCCATTTGAACTTGTTCAGCTGCTTGTGAACGAGAAATATCAGATAATTTTTGTTTACTTTGTTTCACATCAGAGATGTCCATCGCGGCTGAAAATCTGCCGCTGCCGCGCCGCGGCCTTAGAAAAAAAAAGCTGCCGTACCGCAGCCGCGCCGCGACGGTTTATAAAAAAATGTTGCCGCGCCGCGATGGCTTATAAAAAAAAACGTTGCCGCGCCGCTGCCGCGATGAATTATAAAATAAACGTGACGCCGCCGCGCCGCTGCCGCGGCGGTTTACAAAAAAGTGTTTCTAATTTCACTGCTGCGACTATATTTGACCAGAGATATTGGTACTAGTCCATCAGATTCATTCAGTCTCGGGGTGTTTCATTTGTAAACCCTGAAATTCTATTAAATTCATGCAGTTTTTCAATGTTCTCAAAAAAAATCCTGCCGCTGCCGCGATGGTCTTTTAAAAAACCTGCCGCTACCGCGCCGCTGCCGCGATGATTTTTTAAAAAACCTGCCGCTGCCGCTGCCGCCACAGGCCATCGCGGCAGCGCCGCGATGGACATCTCTGTTTCACATATTCATGTCCATGATTAACAAGATCACTGAGTGATTCACTTAAACGTTGAAATAAATCAAACAAATTTGTTGACGTATTTTCTGCTATTGCAGTAGTTTGTTTGATTAAATTACTAAGTAACACATCCAAAGATAATGTAGATGATTTCGTACACTGGATTTGTAAAAAAAAAAAAAAAACAAACTTTTAGTGGTGATACAAGTATGTATTTAATATATTACTTACATCAACTTCTTCAGGACAGGTTTCTTTTTCTATTGAACTTTGTTCTTCAATTAATTGTACATGATGTTCTAATACAATAACTTGCTTTTGTAATCGTTCATTTTCATCAGATAACTATAAATAAAATTCGAATTAAAATTAAAATCTAATTTATTTCTTTTTTGTTTATTTACTTGATGAATCATATTTTGGTAAAATTTTCTTCTGTAAGATTTATTATTTGATAAAGTTCATTGATTTTTAAAATCGATGAATTGTTTTCATTATTATATTTAATCATTTTTCATTAATCAAAGAACAACAAAATGTATATATATATATATTCATTTATTGATTAAGTTCTATGGATACAACAAAAACAACAAAAAAAGAAAACCAAAAAAAAAAAACTTTTCTATCATTCTGTCGTAAAAAGAGAAACGGCATAATAATGAGCGTACATATTTTTATTTTTTGTTCATAAGTTTAATAGCCACCTTCCAGAAGTTATCCCGTGTCTTTTTCAACACCAGATTATCTTTTGGTGTCTTTCTTGTCAAACTTTTGAGTTCTTCGTAGGCGAGTAGTTTGGCATTCTTTTTTAAACGATCACGTGTACCAGCACCCACTTTTAAGATTTTATTGAATATTAATGTACATTTGTAGCCTTTAATGCCATATTTATCTAAATTTATCTCGTGCTCTACTAAGTGTATTGCACATTCTGAATCATTCGTGGTTGCTTTTGTTGAACTCGTCGTACGAAAATAAGATTTGATTGTTGTTGGATCTTCATGAGCTTCTTCTAATGTATCTTTTCGTGCACATATACGATTAAAAAGACGTTGAGCTGCTTGACGTTGTTGTTCTCTATATGTATAAATAATTAAAAAAAAAATTAAAACCAATCAATTTTGTGTAGAAATAGGATTCTTTTGCTTTTATTCAAGTATATGAAATAATTCTAAATTGATTTATTGCATAGTTTTCAATCTAATATCCATCATTGAACAAAGACATTTATTAATAATATATAGTTTTATATCTGTATGTTACATTGTTTGTCTTTTTCTCATATTTTATTCTTTTTTAATTCTAACAACCGAATTGAAAACAAAATATCTATAGAAATCATTTTCTTTCCACTTATTGCAACTATATAAAGTAAAATGGATTCTTCTAGCACAGATAATTTTTCCTATAATATACAAGAAACAAGAACTATGTTCCCAAATATTCATCGAAATTACTCGATTAATTATATGATTATGAGGGAAGTTCGCTAATAGAATACAGGCTTTTGACTCAAGACTATGTGTATCATGAAAACGTCAATAAATTTTCGATCTATTGATAAGTTGAGGATCTTAGCTTATTTGTGGCAGACATACTGTAAATTCACGGTAGTTTTTAAATAGATACCTTAGACCTCCTCAGAAACAGCAAGAAAACTGATTGCCAAGGTTTCATTGTACTTTGTGCAGAGACATATTGTCAGCTTATTGTGAGAGATTCAGATATTCTGATTTGCTTCCGTTCTTAAATAAAAACATCGAATGTGGCATTCTATGTGAGCAGTATAGAAGACAATCCTTCATCAAGACGGTATCTTAAGATAGAAGCAATAATAAGATCTGAAATATTCACAAGAAAACTATTCTTGTTGAGACCTGCCTATGTGTAAAGTTTCAAATCGGAATTCGAATATAAATTTTTCTCGTGTTTTCAGAGAATCTAGAGCTCATTTTGTTCTACATAATGCAGTCTCGACTTAAAAGTAATTTATCCCTTGCGCAACTTCCTTTGTTAGTCAGTTGGACAAATCAAATATTATCTAATATGTCACTTTTTGATTTTTCAAAACAAAATATTATCTTAACTCTGCTTTGTTCTACATCTCCAAGTTTTCTATCCGTAATGACAAAGCTAATATCAATACCAAGTATTATTACCATCGATATCAATTTCGATTTTACTATTTTCTTTCGTAGCAATCAATTAACATCAAGATTCATGATTGCATATACCAATTTCATTGAGGCTACCAAGCGCCTTTTAGAGTACATCTGACATAGACTACCAAGCGTCTACGAAGTACCCATATAAATGAATGACTTGATAAACTATATTCATTATTTTTTTTACTTTTAATAAATAAACTTTATTATAATATACACTCATCTCGATTAGTCTTATAGTATAACAGGAAAAAAAGGATCTACAAGTGATGGGATGATAGATGAGATGAAATATGATCAGAATTGTCCCATATTGAAGAATTATTTTAACTATAATTTGAAACAAAGTCTTGAGATCCATACCGTATGTGGTCGAGTATTATTTCATCATCGTCATCATCATCAGTTTGATCAGAATCATAAATTGATTGACCTAAATAAATGAGAATAAATCAAATTTTAAGAAATTTATTTAATTTATATTACTTGTTGTTAGCTGTCGTTCTTCATCTTCAGTACGTTTCTAATACACAATAATATTACTATATATAGTCAATGATAATATTTTCTTTACATACTCGTTTACAAGTAGGTTTATATGCTGTAGATGATGAATATTCCTCTTGATTTGATGTTGATGTACCTAAATTTTTATCTCAATAAATATTTTTTATTTCGCTCTCCATTGAATACACTTACCAGTTTCCATTTGTTTTATAATGCCTAGCATTCGTCCAATTTTTATACTATACATCATAAAATAACTATGTTGTGCTTGGTGTACAAGTGCTTGAATTTGCATAACCGCAAAATCCAAAGTAGTTCGTTTCTCATTGCTATTGAAAAAAAAATTTATTTTCATGTTCATTAATAATATTTCAATTCTATAACAACTTGAAAAAAAAATTTAACTTACTGTATTATAAAACGATATCTATATGCCATAAATGAATTAACCATTGTACCAGTTAATGATTCAACAATAATTGAACACGCTAATGACTTTTTTATTTTTGTGATATTACAATACTAGAATTATTATTCAATGGTTATTAAGATATAAATATTTTTCACATACTTCTCGACCTAATATATGTAGGTCAGGATTAAATATATCCATTGGAAGAGAATTAAACAATGAACCAAAAACAGTAACTTTACGATCAGCATACTGAAATGTTGAAGAATGATAATAGTTCATATATGATAAAAGTTAGTTACATTATAAACAGGTGCATCATTGTGTTCGAATAACTTTAAATCAGAACGAATTTGATTATAAATATCTAAATAGAAAACTTTATAAATTCATTTATGTTTATAATTAATAACATACCATCAATTTGTTGATTATCTTGTTCAGCTTGTGAATTAATTATCAGTTGTAGTCTTGGTTCATCTTCATCGTTACACATTGATTCTAACTTTACTGGTACATAATTACCAGTACCTCTAATTGAAATACTTGAATTTTGTACCAACTAAGAGAAGTAATTGTTCATATATTAATTCATTTTTTATTTTCAAACATACCTGTTGCCAGTATTCTGCTTGTGTAGCTGCTACACAAACCTCATGTGACAGACCACGAAGAGAAATACATACTTGTTTACCAGTACTACCTGATGATGAAGAATTACCCATTGATTTTTTTTCTGATATGTGTATTAAACTGACCTTATCTGTACATATCACAACATATATATACATGTCTGCATATATAGACATTTCAGCCTATTTAAAAAAAAGAAAAAAGATTATTATGTAGGAAAAGATTTAGTCTGTCTATTACATGTTGATTATACATTGTCCACCATTTTTCGGACCGACCGAACCTACACGGTAAAGAACATAGTGAAATAAGAGAAACAAAAGCGAGTCCAACATGATTGCTGGTCTTGGATTTTGAGAAGGGCCAAATATCACTTAGGTATCAGTAGATAGAGAAGATTTTTCTCTATCATATGATGATTTTGGTTTTCTATAAAAATTGGCATTCAAAAGCTCCGCTAGGTGTCGTTAGTAATTTTTTTAACATGATTGGCTGAAAGCATCTTCACGTTACTCATTGTCATCATTGTTGGTTGGTTAAGATAAACTAGGGCTCTGTTTTATTTACTCCATAGCAAATACTTTGGATATCTGGCAAAAAATGAATAAAATATG